CGTTCGCCAGATTGGTGAAGAAGGAGAAATTAGAGGAACAGGTCTTTGTTGCCTATGTTAGGCCAGTCACTGAGCCTAAGGAAGAGAAGCCCGTAGACCCTGCTATTGCCAAATTGCTGGAAGAGTTTAAGGATTTGATTGAGCCGCCGACAGGCACGGTGCCGCGGCCCATCCAGCACCGTATTGAGATAGAGCCTGGCAGTAGAACTCCTAAGGGTGTTGTGTATAGGATGTCCCCACGAGAGTTAGAGGAGCTACGGAAGCAGCTGGACGAGCTCCTTGAAAAGGGTTGGATTAGGCCGAGTTCGTCTCCTTTTGGAGCCCCTGTTCTCTTTGTCCCTAAGAAAGAGGGAGAGCCGAGGATGTGTATAGACTATAGGGGTCTGAATGCCATTACCGTGAAGAATGCTGAGCCACTGCCTAGGATAGACGATCTTTTAGATCGAGTGCAGGGGGCGAAGTATTTCTCCAAGATAGATTTGAAGTCCGGATCTCATCAGATAGAGGTCCATCCTGACGATCAGTACAAGACGGCCTTCCGGACTAGATATGGGCACTACGAGTTCATAGTGATGCCCTTTGGACTAACCAATGCGCCAGCTACGTTCCAGCGTTGTATGAACGATTTGTTTACGCCGTGGTTAGACAAATTTGTTGTAGTTTATCTAGATGACATTTTAGTGTTTAGTAGGACCCTCAAAGAGCATCAGGGTCATCTCAGGCAGGTCTTGGAGAAGCTGAGGGAAGCTAACTTCAAGATCAATGCAAAGAAGTGCGATTGGGCAAAGACCCAAGTTCTGTATCTAGGCCACGTCTTAGACGGAGACGGCGTTAAGCCAGAAGATAGCAAGATCGCAGCGATTAGAGATTGGCCCACGCCACGTACGCTGACAGAGTTGCGCTCGTTCCTGGGCCTAGCTAATTACTATAGGAAGTTCGTGAGGAACTTCTCCACCATCGCTGCGCCCCTTCGCAGATTGCTGAGAAAGGAGACCATCTGGAAGTGGGATAAGGACTGCACGTCTGCCATGAAGAAGTTAAAGCAGGCATTGATAGAGTATCCAGTCCTAAAAGTCGTCGACCCGTCCTTACCCTTTGTCGTCACGACCGGTGCGTGTCAATACGGCATAGGCGTAGTGTTGCAGCAAGACGATGGCAATGGRTATAGACCCGTAGAGTTCATGTCCGCCAGAATGCCTTCAGAGAAGGTCGCAACATCTACCTATGAGAGGGAACTCTTCGCTCTCAGGCAAGCCTTAGACCACTGGAAGCACTACTTGCTTGGGAGGCACTTCAAAGTCTATTCTGACCATGAAACGTTACGATGGTTAAAGACGCAGGCCAAGATTACACCTAAGCTTACTAGGTGGGCTGCAAAAATAGATCAGTACGACTTTGAGCTCTTCTCAGACCCTTACCCATTCCGGACCAACCGGGAGACTCAGTGTCCATAGACTTCATGGACACTCAAGTCAAGAGCAGGCATGGCAAGAGCCAAGTCATGGTTATAGTAGACCGATTTAGTAAGTACGCAGTCTTTGTTCCTTTGCCTTCAGAGGCACGTACTGATTTAGTCATACAAAGATTTTTTGACTGTTGGGTTAGTGAGAATGGAATTCCGCTGTCAATAGTTAGCGATAGAGATAGTCGCTTTACCAGCCAGAACTGGCAAGAGCTCATGGGAGTGTATGGATCTAAGTTGTTGATGTCATCTGGCCGTCATCCAGAGACTAACGGTCAGACAGAGCAAATGAACAAGATCCTACAGCAAGTTTTGCGCATGTACATTAGGCCAGATCAGATTAACTGGGATGAGATGTTACCTAAGGTAGCCAGTGCATTTAATAACAGCGTGCATCTGTCCACCTGCCGCACTCCCAACGAACTGCACAAGTCCTTTAGGCCCCGTAGACCATTTGAAGGACTTGGCCTGGATCAGATTCACAGATTGCCACCCGGGACCAGGGAGTTTGTTGTGCAACACGAGAAAGAACTAGCTACTATAGTAGAGAACCTCAGAAAGGCCCAGCACAGGATGATAGAGCAAGCCAATAAGCATCGTCGCCCCTCACAGTTTCAAGTAGGCGACTTAGTCTGGGTCAGTTCTAAAGAGTTTGCACATGAGGAGAACATCTCGCAGAAGTTACTACCCACCTATAGAGGACCGTGACCAGTCTTAGAAGTCGAAGGCGGCGAAGATGGACCGTCCTATACCATAGAACTCCCAGCACACCTCCACACGTATCCAGTTTTCCACGCATCCAAGTTGTTACCATGTCAAACGAGCGATCAGTTTCCATCCCGTAGGTCCATGATCCCACCGGATATGGATGGAAGATACGACATTGATGGAATAGTGGTTGAAGATGTATTCAGGACTGGAGGTAGGGGTCGTCCACAGAAACAGTACAAGGTTCACTTTAGTTATCAAGAACCGGAGGACGATCGCTGGTTTACAAGGTCTGAACTTCTAGAGACAACTCCCGATATAGTCCGAGCCTACGAGAGACAGCAGAGGGGTAAAGGTCCTGCCTTGGACTGAAATTTTCTCGGAGGACCTCGAATTTAGGCCGGCTGGACTGAAACGGTTTTCACCTTTTAGCAGTGGCGGATGTAGTACCCAGGGTTCGATCCCTAGACCTCACCCTACCCATGTACAGTATCTGTGTAGACGCCGAGAATTGAACCTGTGACCTGTGTATTCGCAGGCAGTTGGTAGGCCTGTCGTAGGTCCATAGGCAGCAGGGGTTCGATCTGTAGGTCTATAGCGTAAGAGTCTTAGTGAGTTCCGGAAGCTTAGTTGTAGACCTTCTATAAGGTAGGCAAGTGGGCAAGTGGGCAAGTGGTGAGGCAAGTGGTGGACTAAACTGCAGTGCAACAACAGTACAATGTCGAGAGGATAGCGGTGAGTCCACAGCCAGTTAGCGGAGGGTCCAGTCAGTCCCAGTCCGGTCCAGCAAGTACCACAGGGGGACTGCGAGCATCAAGGGCCGATGCCAAAGGGCAGACCAACGAGTTTCTGAAGTATAAATCAAGACGCAGTGCCCAGCCATTCATTCATTCTTGCCTGAGCCATGCGGAAGCGCTGCCACAGCGACTTGTGCAAGGAGGTCTGCAGATGAGCCCGGAGGACGCAGTGGGCTAGAGAGAGGGAGTTAGCATAGCGATAGGTTAGGTGCAGCGACARCTGCCATARCTGTAGTTAGTAGTGAGTGTGTGTGTGTGTCGCGTGTAMGTGCAGAGTGTTGCGTGTGGGACATCCAGGGTGATCCAGAGTGCGAACAGTGAGTTGTGTGGGCGCACAGTCGCCATAGCCAGTTGGAAGAGAACTCTTATCTGGTTACGATATCTTCGAGTACTGTGTGGCCGCATGTCGCCAGTTTGCTGTTTCGCTGTTTGCATGCATGTCGAAGTGTGACTAAGTCGAGTCTGATTGCACGTTATTTGGAAATTCGGAATATTTTTTCCGAAATTCGTTTTTTTGAAAACGGTACGGGAAATCCCTCTTGCAGTACCATTTTCCAAACTGCGAATACTCTCATCTGAGTAAGTCCAAATACTTGTTATTTCTTTTCGAAAAAAAAAAATATTCGCAGTTCTATGATTTTCACTACCTTATAATCATTGGCAGTCTGAAGTTAGAAAAAACAAATTCTCATTGATAATTTCGTACTTCAAGGGAGGTTGGAAGACCTACTGAACTTGCAAAACTCGGGATTTTTATTTTTCTCGAAATTTTTTGCAAAGCTCAAACTTTTCTTTTTTGATTAGTGGCTCCTTATCTGGGCGATTTATCCCCACCCACCTCTCCCCACCTATGTTGTTGCCCCCTCTTGTCTTACCTTCTCTATCTGTCTCTCGGTACCCCCTGCGGCGGCATTGGTGAGTTGCCACGTCAGCAGACCACGTCAGCAGGCCACGTCAGCGAACCACGTCAGCAGACCACGTCAGCAGGCCATGTAAGCGGACCACGCCAACAGAACACGTCAGCAGGTCACGTCAGACGACAGCAATGCCACGTCAGCAGCAGGGAGTACCACATCAGCAGGTCTCCGACCTGGTCTATGCTTTTGCGCTCGCAAACAGCCGTGATGGACCAGAAGTCCGGGGAAACGGACGAGGCCTATCAGGCCCCGATGCTGCTTCTGATTACCGAAGCTAAGCAACGGTCAGATGCAGTAGCAGCCGCAGCAAAGAAGAAGGCAGAGGACACCGAGAAGGCACGTCTGCTGGCAATTGAACAGCAGCGCCAGCACGACGAGGCAGCATCAAAGGCTGCCGATGAAGAACGAGTTCAATGTCGCGAGAAGATATTCAACGGAGAGAAAGCTTTGCTCACAATGGATTGGCGGTCCGAGGCCGAGAATGGCAAGATGGAAGAGAGTGAAAACAAGATCGCTCTACTCCTCTCCCATCTCACGGACCTCCTGGCAACATGCCTTACACAGCAAGAGGACATCCACAGCCTCGACGACGGGCAGACTCAAGTCCACAACCGCCTCCAGTAGCTGGAGCAGCGACCTGTTGCCGCCCCCAATGCCAGCTCTTCCAACACCTCCGATCGCCTTGAGGCATTGGAGATTGACGTCGGATCCCTCAAGGACGGCGTGCAGTTACAGCAAACCACAACGCAACAGTTGGAGCAATGGATCTGTACTGCCGCCAACCACTCGATCTCGGAACCGCGCGAGACAGCCCCAAGTTTCGATCGGCAGGAGATCTTCTGCGACTCGACGAAGACGGACCCGATTTCATGGTTCCGCAAGTTCGAACTCACGTTGCAGCTACACTACGTCAAAGAACACAAGCACCACGGATACTCCCGGTCGGGGGGCGCGTGCCAAGCATGGTTGGACAATCTCTTGTCCAAGTGCGGAGTGGTGGCTGCCAACTTTCATACCAAGATCAGTTGGGATGATCTAAAGGCGGCGTGGCATAAGCGGTTCCAAGTAGAGTCGTCGAAGATCAAGGCAATGGACAAGCTGATGGTCTTCGAACAAGGCACGCTGCCGAGTGTTGATTGGATTGCCGAGTACCAACGCTTGACATCCGCCCCAGACATTCAAATGGGCTTCAAAGCCATCAAACACTACTTCATCTCGAGGTCGTGTCCGACGTTGGGCAATGCCTTGACTCACGTCGAGGACACCCTGACAACACCGGCAAAACTCTTCGACAAGGCCGCGCAGATTATTGTCACGAACAAGGAGGCCAAGAATCTCCAGCGTTCGTCTGTGCCATGCCTGAGCAAAGATCAGCATCGGCCGAAAGTGGCCGTGGTCGTGGCGGCAACGCCAAACGACCAAACTAGCGAGGTCGTGTCTACCACTGAAGGGGACAGACTCGCAGCCGCCCGGGAAGGTGGCCGCCCCGGCAAAGGCCGAGGAAGCGGCAAGACGAAGACAAACACCGCATCTAGCCCCAGGCCCGGCTCAGCAGCTCCAACCCCATGGTCCTATTACGGTCTCTCCGAGCAAGCATTCAAGGCACGCACGAGATTCCGCTATTGTCTGTGGTGTAACAACGATCTCCACGACACAATGGCTTGCCAGTCGAAAGGCAAGAGCAAATCGGAAACTGAGCACCGCCGGGAGTGACTCGGCGACACTCTCGACGCCTTCAGAACCGGTCACTTCGCGGGTGACCGCCCTTCGTTCCGAGGCACATGCGGAAGTCGATAGTCCTCCTCTTCTTTATTCTTTTAAGGACTATGCTGCCCGACTCGTTCCTACGCTGGGTACTCATGCTCAAGGACAAGACGTGTGTGCAACATCTTCTCCATCCGGTAGCAGCGACTTATCGTCTTCAATTGGTTCTTCACGGGATTCGGCGCGCGAGTTCAACATAGAGGCATTGGACCCGCTCACATCCGAGGATTTCGCATGGCTTCCTCTCCCAACCACGGGCCGCTTGTCGGGACCGCAATGTGCAGCATTATGCGCTCATCTTCACACGTTGTCGGGACTGGTGGATCCCGAATAACGTCCCATCACTTGAGAGATTGAATACGGACAATTTGTGCACAACAGAGAAATCAGGAATGAGGAAGCAGGAGAGAGAAAAGACAAAGGATTAGGCCGCAGAAGGGAGTGATGCCCTGAGGAGAGAACCACAGGAGGAGAGAACTAGCGGCGGCAAGCAAGCGAGCGCAAGAACAGGGGCACATAGAACATAGCAAGAGGCCGGGAGGGTCATCGGAATGCAATAAGACTAAGGTCAAAGGACCCTTTGAACTAGCAATTGCAGCGCGACAGCAATAAGGGAATGAGGAAGTCGAGGGATGAGCGGCCAAAAGCCGCGGGAAGCCAGAAAATGAGGGTCCAACGTGGGGGCCACCAATGGGAGCCTCGGAGCGGAGGCCCACGACCAAAAAGATCGGCACGCACAAGGCGCGAGGAAAGACTAAGGAGAGGGGTCACTATGGGGCGACAAGACGCCCAAGGGGCATGGGACACCTCGGGGAAAGGCACCCGGGGGCACGTGGGACTAAGTAAAAATAATGGCGTCCGGGGCGAAATGTGTCGGGGACCACCGACGGGACTAAGTGTCGGGGACCGCCGACGGGACTAAGTGTCGGGGACCACCAATGGGACTGAAGTGTCGGGGACCACCAATGGGACAAGTAACGGGGACATGTGAAAGTCCCAAGAAGAAACGGCAGCACCGCATGAGGGGAAAATAATAAACGCAAGGTGCACCATCAAGATCGACATCTTGACGGCCAAGAATATTAGCACCACTAGTGCAAGTACTAGTGGTGACAAACGGGAAGGCCAAAAGGAAAAGGAAAAGTAAAGAAAACTGAAGTGGGAGGCATGGGAGCAATCCGAAAAATCTCGGATCAGCCTCCCTCAAGAAAATAGAGTCAAATGAGACCCCATGTGAAAAATAGCCCTCCGGGAGAAAATCGGAGTAGGAGGGACCATTGTGGGAGAAAT